ATCTTAAGAAAACTTTCTTTAATAGCCTATCATGAGATAATAAAAAAGAAGTAATTAAATTTGGCTTTAAAAAGTCTCTGGATAAAATAATTGATCACTTGAATAGAATCTCAACTAGACTTACTAATATTCAAAAGTTTTGATTTGGGAATTTAAGATAAAAGGAGAATTTGATAATGAAATATTACACAAAAATAAAAAAATATGGTAAATTAGTGGATATAATAAAAATCAGCTTAAATATTAATTTCTCCATAGATTATCATCTGAGAATCAGATAGAAATCAGAAGATGTGGATTGGATCTTCTATTAGATAAGTTAGTAGAAAGGCTGAGCACTTTGAAGAATATTAAGAAAATTCAAAGTAATGTATAGCAGAGCTAGTATCTCTGATATATAATATCTATAGTATTTGCTACTAAAAATTAATTATCTGAATATTAGCTATTTTTTTTCTAATTAAAGATATATAATATATAATTTAAGAATAGTATAACTAAATATTTTTGATTTATCAGAATTATTAGAACAGATCTTATATTTTTTAGAAATTGATTGATCCTTCTATCCTGTTTGTTTGTCAATCACTTTTGGTATTACTGTAGTACTCCTATTCTATAATATTATGTTGAGTTTTTCAATAAAGATTATTAGAGAGATTAGCATAATTGTAAGATATCTCAAGTTCTTACTTGGTAATTGATAAACTTTAAAAAAGTCATGTGTGGAAAGATAAAGCCAACTTATTGTATTAAGATGATATATCTTAGATTAGAAGGTTTAAAAATCTCAAATACATTAATTAGTATGATTCTACACTCATATCCAGATATACGTATTCTTATTCTTGATAAAAGTAAGGATTTCATTAATATACTAATTATAAAAATTGTGAGATTTTCTTCAAAACTACAACATCTGAGTCTTAATTTATGCATATGTCTTACTAATCAATATATTACTGAAATTACTCACTTGTATTCAAAACTTAGACATCTTGAGCTTGGCTATTATTTGATTGATAATAAAGCTATCAAAAAAATATTCTGTAACTGTACTAATTTGAAATATCTTAGTTTGAAGAGATGTAAAAAAATTAATGAAGAAGTGATAAAAAAACTTAATCCTAAAATTAAAATCAAATATCCTAATTATTCAGATAAAAAATAATCTAATTCTGATCTATCTATTTCAATGTTTACCAGTATATTATTAGATGAAACAGATCTTATTTCTGCACTCAGTAATTATATCAGAGAGATTGGTAGGATTAATTTTAATTATTTATAGTTTACAAATAATTTTATATAGTAACAGAGAATAAGTAATTATTTACCAAGTTATTTTTTCAGTTATAATATATATCATTAAATAATATTTGACATGATTTTCATAAAAATAATCATAGAGGGAAAAATCTTAGTAAAAGTATTAATTGATACAATATCTAAATCCAATACTATTAGCAAGCACTTATATAATAAGCTTAAAGAAGATTATGGGTCAAAAGATATATCTAGTGATGATTTGATAGACAAAGAAATAAAATGCTTAGATTTGCAATTTCAGTATAAAGAAAAGTGGTGAAGCTTAGATAGTACTGAAGTAATAGATTTTTAAATTTGTAAAAATTTATCATTTGATTTGGTGCTAGAATGAGATTGGTTATGGATGTGAAATAAAAATTAGCTTTGAATTTTCTCTAAAAAATTATAAGTATTATGCTAAAATTGAGATAGATAGTATGAATATCCCATTAATTGAAGAAGATAGCAGATCTATAGATAACTCTTCAAACTATAAAGCCAGCTTCACTAAAAATAACTTATCTATTGCAAAGTAATAGGATTTTGTCCCTAAATCAACAGAATCTAAATCTGATCTAGCTCAAGAGAAGATTATAAATATAATTAACAAAATTCTCTTAAATATTGAAGATAGACTTGAAGGGTCATTGTTTTGTAATAATAAGTAATGAAAAAAATATCATGAAATATTTCACAATAAATTTAAGATAGAGACTAATTCATTCAGCTCTGATTTAGAATCCACAGATTCAGACTGATATGATCTTGATCTAATAAAATTTTGAAAGAATCATGTTCATGTTAAAAAGAAAAAGATTATTTTTTCTATCTAAAAATATCGTAAAAATAAGCTTTATAATAAGGTCTATTATTCAGAGTAGTGATCTATCTAATTAGAATAATTAAAAAACTATTAATGGTCATAAATTTATTAACCAATCATATTATAAATAGGATTAATATAGAAATTCATGAAATATATCAAATAAAAAGCTCATGATCTCATATTTATTCTACATGCTTATTGCTTTACACTTTTACTATTACTATTTGGATTGATTTTTGATAAGCCTTATAATATTTGAGATAATAAGTTTTTGTATTGACATAATTATCACTATCCCATTCATCTTTTATATTATCTCTTATATTTTCTTTTTTATGGTCTTTATTGCATATAGAACAGATCATTGAATAGTCAAAGTAATCATTATTCTTGATACTATATTTTAAAGACAAATTTCAAAACTGCTTTAATATCATTTTGATAACATAATTTTATTTCTCTTTTGAGTCTTCAGATAAGATCAAAATTGGAGGTTGAGATTTATTATCAGAGATAGTTACAAGATGATTAAATGTAGGTATACTTACTTCAGCTTTTGGTAATTTCAAGAAAGCAGAGTTTTGAGCTATTAACTCATCTTGATCATTTTCTTGTATTGATCCAGAACCAGAAGAATCAGAAATTTGAGATTCAGTAGGTATGCTTATCTCAGTATTTGATATATTATTTGAACTAGGCAATTCAATCATATATACGTTCTTTTTCAGAACACTAATCACTTCTTGGCAATTAATTGTATTGGTCTTTTTATAAAAATGATTTATAATATTTTGGATTTGAATATTTATTAGACTTGAAATAGCATTTGCACTGTAAGTTATTTGCCTAATCATATCTATTTCTATTTCTTTGAATAATGTATAAACTTTTTTAGCTTTGAAAGTTCTTTTATACAAATTTATATCAGAGATACCAGAAAGAAGTAATCTGATTTTATTATATATCAGCATTCTAGCTGATTTGTTATTAATTTTATTCTTGGATTTAATATCTCTAACCTGATTTTTATATACTTTAGTATAATAATACCAGTATAAATTTTCTTTTTGTCTAGTTTTCATTGTCATATTAAATAAATCTACTATAATCTGAGTCATAAGTTCATTAGATCCTGTTAATATTTTTTCTAGAGAAAGTTTAGAAATTTGCACATTTATTTCTTGTATACTACTAATTTCCTTAGCATAAAGAAATAGCTCATGCATTATGTTTTGTTCCACTTTCTGATTATAAAGAATTTTTGATCTTGCTAGCTTTACTATTTCAGAAAAAATAATATTTTGTATTTGATTAATAGATATTTACTCTAATTTAATAAAGATTTGAGATTCTGATTGAATAGTTTTCTAATCATAGGTCAGAATAAATATGATATTTTGAGAAATTTTGAATAAAATTACACTTTATGTCTCAAAATAGAAAGATATTTAATCTCGAAGTTTTTTTTTCCTATTTCTCTCTCTTACTATATTACCAATCCTTTTCTTATCTTTCAAATCCAGAAGTTTATCAATTTTCTTATCTTCTAATGATTTGGTCTCTAATTGGTATAAATCAGAATCAGATGTATTTTCTATCTGTCTTGGGGTATTATTAGAATTTATTTTGGAAAAAACAAATTTCTCAGGGATATTATTTTGTGTCTATTCTAGATTCATAGAGTTGGTGCTATCATTCTTGTCAGACTGATCATTAATAGGCATTGAAATATGCATTTGTGGAGTTACTAATAATGCTGAAGAAACTAAAAACTACAAACCATTATTAATAGTTCTATTTTGTTTTATAATTTATTTTAGTCTTGTATTTTTGATCCTAAAATTAGCTATTTCTTCTATAATCTGTTTTAATTTGATATTTTTAGCCTCAAGCTTGATAACTTATTATTTCAATAATTCAAGCTCCAATAACATATTTAATAATAATTTTTATATAAGATACATATTTATTCAAAATTTCAAATTAATAAAAATTATATATATATTCTTTTTCAGAATACTATTCACTTTTGCCAAGAAAAAAAATAATAATTATGATTAATATATTTACAATATACACAAAAATCTTTATTTAATCAGATCCTTTGAATAGTATTAGATAATTAATCAATTAAGATGAGGCAACTGATAATATATTATTCTATATCTGGGATTATTACATATTCTATTTTGGATATTAAATCTATTTCAGAATATATTATAAGCATATAATTAATTTTCTGATATAACTATATGGATATTACATCTCAATATTTGATTATGTACCCAAAAATAATAAGATAATTAGGATTTTATTATCAAAAAAATATATATCAGAGTAAAACACATTAAGAGCAGAACTCATGTCAAGATATAAAAAAATTGTCATATAAACTTTTTTATCCTAATACAAGACATATCGCATGAAAATATTGACATAATATATAATATTCTTAACTTGAATTCTTTATTAGCAAAACCATGACTGATATAATAAAAATACATATTAATTTATACAATATCTCTATACTTACCTATTATTAGATGGAAATCTAATGATAGAGAGATCCACTATCTTTTTTAATATCCAGATCAGTGAGATCTTGTTATAGTAATCATGACATTACTAACTTATCATCATAAAGGGGCACATCTTCTTAAGCTTATGATAAATAAAAAGTTATGTTATATAAGGATATATTAACTTTTTCTATAATCTTAATAAGAGTATGAATATGATTTCATAGAGATGCCTATAAATAATTCTATTAATTAACTAGGAGTTTGTTTATCTAACTTCTTATATTTGATAGTCTTACCCTTAATTTTCATAATTTATCCATAAATCTAGCAAGTAAAGATTAGTCTCAATTCATAGGAATTTGCACTGAACCAAGATGTTGAACAAAGTAAAAGGCTCCAAATGGCATAGTCATAACCCAACATGCTATAATTCCTCCTAAAGTAGAAATAGTTAGTTTTAAGTAAAAAAAAATAATTGTGATATTACATACCAGCAATTTAGATATCAAAAACTGACATCTTGTTAAGATCTTCTTCTATTTTCTTTACATCCCCAACTCTTCCTTTAGTAAGTTTTCTCAATAATCACATATAAGCATCTTTCATAAGCTTGATTATTTATTCTAATTATCATAGATCTTTTTATCAGTCAGAAGAATACATAAGATTCCCATAAGATAAATTTTCACTTTACTAGCAATCAGAGAAGATTTCACATGAAAATTAGACTTGTATCCAATTCTGATTTCTTCAGAATCATCCATCCAATGTTGAAATATTTCTGAGACTTCTTTAGTTCTGTTATGATATATGTAAAACTTGTTATAGTCATTATGTGACCATCTCTGATAAAAATTCATATTTTACATATTATCTAAAACTTTATCAGATGATTTTAAGTTTGGTATTTTTGTAGCAAAATAGTGGATCAAGAAAGTTAGATACTATATGAATAATATATATTCCCTTAATATATTTAGCCTTATTTTCATCATTAAAGTAGTATCAGATATATTGACTATAAGAATAAGAGTATTAGAAATTAATTAATTATCAAGACAGAGAAGCTCAATTACCTACACTGAGTCTATAATCCTATATATCACACATATATCTTCAAACTCCTCATTATTTCCTTGGAAATTTGCTGGTATAGGTGAGAGTAAAACTATCATTTCCCTTTTATTCAAGCTCTTTGATTTTTCTAAAAGGATTTTAATTAAGTCAGAAATAATAGAACTTATTTCATATTGATCATATGCCAAATTTATAATTTCTCTCAAATTCTTCTTTTATTCTTCTGGCAACTTTCCAAAAATTATGTCTGAGTTTTGATCAATAATATAACCAAAACTAAGTGGATCATTTCATTCAATATTGCTAGCATCAAAAGATTCAAAGAGATCTCTCAACTTATATAATAGCAATGAATAGGATGTTTTATTTTGGATTAAATTATTCTACAAAAGTATTGAGTAAGAATAAGTAAAAAAAAACTATAACTCCTATAATATAAATGTGTTATCAATCATTTTCCAATTTTTTTTTGTTTGAAAAGACAAGATTCTCCTCTGTTGGACTTATGAATTTAAGCAAAATCTGAAATATATAAATATATTAGTATCAGTAATAAGTTTTTCTAAAATAAAATTATAGTAGTTTAGTTAACCATTAATTTCATAGTCTCTACTGTTGATATATATTGTATTTTTTACTTGTTCTATAAAAATAAAGGAGTCAATATACAAAAATTCTATATTTTGCTTATTATTTAATACTCTTATTTAATCAGATTTCTGATTTCTTCATATATTACAAATGACCATCAGGACTCAAATCTCAGATGTGAGGAGATAGTATGAAATTGATTCTTAGAATAGATGAAATATCATCATATAAAATATTATAGATGGGATAAAAAATAATACATACATCAAGAATCTTGGAAAATTCTTCATAAGCATTTCATAGAATGCTACTAGATTTGGCAGAATAACATAAAGCTTTCTCACAAGCCAGTTTATATATTTGAAATATGTTACTCATAAAACTATATCACCTGTTATTTGCGTTAATTGCATAACCAAATCATGAAGTGAAATATACTTTTCTGACTTTATTATAATTATTCTCCAAATACTCAATATCGAATCCTTCTAACTGAGGTATTTATAATTCTGCTTCATTTCTGTATGAAGTTTAGCAAATATAAAATTGAGATAAAAATAATTATAAATGAAGACAAAACTATATTCTTCTTCTAAAATGTAATCACCACTCAACAAATATTTAGAAATATAACTAATTACTCAAGATATATCTATTACTTCAACTTTTATATCAATTGAAAAAGAAGAAATGAGCAGAGATAGGAAAAATGAAACATCATCTTTATCAACTACTAATAATAGATTTAAAAATTTGATGCATAGGATTAGAGCACTTGCTATAGCTCTAGAAAGACTAAAGGAAGCTAATTACACCAAAATTATAGAATTCTATGGTGATACTCAAAATCCAATTGATTGGCTTCAAGACTTTGAAAATATTTGTATTGCTAATGATATTAGTAATGATAGAAAAATTCAGATAGTAGGTACTTATCTGAAAGATTCAGTTACCACATGGTATACTAATAATAAATTATATAATCCGGAATGGCCAGAAACTTGAGGCTATGCTAATAATGCCAATCTAAATGTAAAAGAAGCTTTATTCATATATTAGTTTGAAAAGTATTTTAGAAATCATAACTAGCTATATGAATAGCAATAATAATTAAAACAAAGAAAATAATTATCTGATGAAAGCATAGAATAATATGCTGCAACTATCAGAGAATTAATTAGAAGAGTAGATCCAATCAATACCTATCCAGCTCATTTATGTATATCTTATTTTATAGATGAGCTTAGACCAGAAATCAAATTCTTTATAAACTCAACTCATCCTGTAACATTAGAAGAAGCAATTAATATAAAAACTGCTTATGATTCTAACTTTTAACAATATAATGCAATACCAAATGGCTTATCTTTCTTGCCAACATCATCTATAGATACTGGAATTAATAAATTAGCAGAGCAAATTAAAAGTATCACTTCAAAGTTAGAGAAGTTAATAACTATCAATCAATTTAATAGTCACTCTAATAATAGAAATAATTCTATTAAATGCAATAATTGTAGAAGATTTGGTCATATACAAGTAAATGCAGAAGTAAAAGAAATAATAACTATAATAATAATAATAATTTCAATAATAATAATAATTTTAATAATAATTTCAATAATAATTTTAATAATAATAACTTAATAGAGATGGGAGCTGCAACTAGCTATAACTCTGTTGCAATTCTCTGATTGGCTGTCGTAACTCTGTCGTAATTCTCTGATTGGCTGCTGTAAGCCGCAACTAGTTGAGGAGCTATCTTTATAACTCAAGAAATAATATCACCTGTTATAACTGTAGAGATACCAGTTATATTGCCAGCAGATACACTAGTCCAAAAAAGAATAAAAATAATTAAAATAATAATAATTATAATAACAATAATAATAATAGAAGAAATAATAATAATAATAATAATAAATAGAATACTTACTTGAATAGTGAAGAGCATTTAAACTTTTAAATATATCTTTAGAAGATAAGAGTACATTCATAACTAAAAAGTCTTCAATTAATAATAATCAGCTCAAGAAAATATTAATAAAAAATGAGAAAGAAAATCAATAAACTTAACAAATACCTGTAGATGCTATGTATGTGAATGGATTTATTAATAATCAACCTTATAAGATAATAATTGATAGTAATGCTATGAGTAATATAGTCACTCAATAATTCTTAAAGAAGATAAACTAGAAAATTCAAAAATCTAGTACAATAAATCTAATTGGTATTAATGGTAAAAAAAAAGTACTTGGAGAAGTAATTGACTTACCAGTTACTCTAGAATCTGAATTAATCAAGATCAAAGCATTAGTAATTATGAATAGTTATTATAATCTTATACTAGAAAATAATTGGGCTCATACTTATAAAGTAGTTATAAGCTAGACCAAAGGTCTATTACAATTTGAGAATCAGAAGAAACAAATTGAAATATCTATTACATGTTTAGAAAAGCACTATAAAACTGAAAAAGAAAAAGTAGAACTTAAAGTCTTTGATAATAATAGCAAAGGAAAAATATCAGAACATATTCATAAAACAGATACTGGCTTTGATCTAAGATATTCAGAAGCAAAAGAACTTAATATCTTACCACAAGAAACTATGATAATAGATTCATATATTGTAATTGAAGTACCAAAAGGAACATTTTGTTAACTTACTTCTAAATCTTCTTTAGTACGCAAAGGAATAGAAGTAAAAGCTGGTACTAGAGATAGAAGCCATAATTAGCCGTAACTTTGTTGCAATTCTCTGATTGGCTGCCGCAACTCTGTCACAATTCTCTGATTAGCTGCCACAAGCTGCAATTAGTTGAGGAGCCATCTTTAGCTGGTACTAGAGATGGGAGCCGCAACTAGCCGCAACTCTGTTGCAATTCTCTGATTGGCTGCCGCAACTCTGTCGCAATTCTCTGATTGGCTGCCGCA